GTGTTTACCAAACAATTCCAGCAAGGAGGACCCTGAATTAAGTGTTGTGAGAGAGAGGTGTGAAGGCGTAAGTCACTACACAGGCCTGTGGAGTTTAAATCCACGTGGGGAGTCCAAGGCCGCTGGCGGCTGAGGAAGGGAGGGCTCCTGCCAAGCCGAACTAGAGCCCGCCAAGCCCGCAGCCGCCAAGCTGAACTTGCACCCGCCAAGCCCGCAGCCGCCAAGCCCAACTTGGGGCCGCCAAGCCCAACTTGGGGCCGCCAAGCCGAACTCGCGGCTGCGAGTGGGGAAAGGAAAGGTTCTAAAACCAAACGTTGGGTGCCAAAATGAAGGCGTAAGTCACAATGCCACACCAATTCGGGGTTATGATTATTAGGGTGGTATTTATTTAAAGGGGAAAAAACTTACTGATCACTGTCCCAGGCAACAGCCCTCTACGCAACCAGGAAAGGAGTCTAGTCGCAGGCGGAGCAGGAAGTGAAGAGAGAGAGGAGAGGGAAGTGGCCGCTTTTTTAAAGGGAGAGAAACCACGCCCCAATGGGCTGGTACCTCAGCGGTGATAGGCTGGAGGAGTGGGAGGACCTCCCACAACAGAGGTGTTTGCCTAACACAGAACAGTTATGGTGTGTCCTGTTGGTAAGAACATGCAGATGTTACTTGTATCTGTAGGTATTCTTCTGAATTGCAAAATATACAGATACAGTATATGTACATACATGTATATGGTACTGGTGGAAAACTTTAGATAGATAACTTGCATGAATAAAATTATACATCAGAATGTCAATGGCAATGTAGCTGATCTGGAGAAAGGGATCCCGGGGTCAGTGAAACCAGAGGAAAGTACACTCTACTTGTTCTGACAGGGGAGTAAATGGTAGACTTTCCTATGCACCTCAGCCAGAATATGTGCACTGAAATACCAAAGTATTTAATGACTTTTATTTTCTATATTAACACCTGCCATTACTTCAATACCTTCAAGACCTCATTTCTCCTTACCTGCTTTTCATTAGAAAGGTGAGCTATGGCTCACGAAGCAACTGCACTAAGAGCACCAGAGAGTCAAGGGCAGAGAAGAAAATATCACTTTGAACCCGAGAGGTCTCAGCTGTCCCACATCCCGTAGAGATGCTGTGTGAACTGAAGCATATGTACTGAGGATCAGTCACCTCCCTCCTCCCAGCTGAACCCATTGGCATCAAAGGACAAGGGAGAGTGAATCTGAGAGTGAGGAATTGGCTTTTCTTCTAACAAATAAACAGAAGTAACCCCTTAAAACCTTCACTTCCATAGCTATCTTAGCATTTTGGATTATGAATGAAAATGTGTTCTCGGGAGTGAAGAAGACCAGATGCTAAAGATCCTAACTATGTCTGGGTTAGATTTGAAAAACTCAGCCAACCATAACAAGCTATAAAAATACAAAGCGTGTGCGGTTAGACCTACAATGAGGTCTCAGCTCTGCTGTTTTTTCATGATGTGATCTCTCTGAAACCTTTCCCCTCACTGGAAACATAAGCATAATTAAAGTAACCTCAGCATGTGTGCTCAAGCAAAATGACAGTGTTTGCGAGTGTAGTTGCCCAAAGGTGACAGAATTAGTTAAGTGGAAAACGCTACCACGGAAAGGAAGCTGTGTCAACTGTAACTTAAGATCATTGACCCTGTTTAAAAACAGCTCTTATCATATTTAAAATGATATGAAATTTATAACTCTGGGATACTTCTAATTTCTGCATGAGACACTTTTTCATACCTTTGTACCTCCTTTTTATTTATTTTTTTTAATTTATTTATTTATTAAAGATTTCTGCCTCCTCCCTGCCACCGCCTCCCATTTCCCTCCCCCTCCCCTGATCAAGTCTCCCTCCCTCATCAGCCCGAAGAGCAAACAGGGTTCCCTGACCTGTGGAAAGTCCAAGGACCACCCACCTCCATCCAGGTCTAGTAAGGTGAGCATCCAAACTGCCCAGGCTCCCCCAAAGCCAGTACGTGCAGTAGGATCAAAAACCCATTGCCATTGTTCTTGAGTTCTCAGTAGTCCTCATTGTCAGTGGTACACATTTGGAGCTAGATAAAGTGCGAATTGTATGCAAATAAACTAAATGGTGAGTTTTATTTCAAAGACAAACCATTAATTGAAAGAAACCAATGATACTATTTCTCATGTGACACACATCAACTGTACCAATGAGCAAATAAAAATGAAAACTCTCGACAACTTTGGAAAAAAAAAAAGATCATTGACCCTGGAGTTGGGTACACTGCAAGGGCAACACTTGATCACGTTCATTAGCAGTAAGATATGAATTAAAACAAGCGCTGTGGACACTTGAGTTTGTGGAGAATTTGAGCTTAAGGTAAAAGAGAGGAAAGCTAACAGAAAAGTAAGGCAAGTCATGATCTATTTTTTTTACTTGGTCCATCTTCCTGTCTTTCAGGGTTGCTTTTTTAACTTTCTGAGATTTGTTGAGTGAATGCATTGCATCTCTACATCCCTTTTGGTGTGCATGTGTGTGTGTCTGTGTGTGTGTGCGTGTGTGTATGTGTGTGTGTGTGTGTGTATTGTATATGTACACATGCTCATAACTACAATCTCTCTAAATCAGAACATTCACTCATTTACCTGAAGACCATTAGATATTGGTTTGTTCAAGCCAGAAAAAGACACTGTTGGGTCATGTGCATACTTCTAACCATATAGACACTTCAATGAGCTCAGGTTAAACAGAGATGTTTTGATTCACTGTAATTGATTTCCTGTTCCCAATTTCAGGGCCTTGTGTATTCTACTGGATCTTCAGCAATGGATGGCCAGCTCATGGTTAATTTTAATATAATTAATATTAATGCTAATGTATATTTTCTAAAATTTCCGTAAAAAAATCCCAAAGCCTATAAATTTGCATCTGGAGTCCTGTGCTGTCTCTAGGAGCCTAGTGACTACTGAGAAACCAGGAGCCATGAGTCAGAAATCTGATTTCATTCCTTTTAGTTTGACAGCAGCTTTCGTTCTCAGTGTGTCTCTCAGGAGCTCCAAAGACACTACATGGAAAGTTCTAGACATTTTCGTTTGGGTCCTTTACTTAAAGTTGCTTCTAAAGGAAAACTTGGTAGCCATTTCCAATAAATTCCTCTAGCAAATTCCTAAACGTTTTCCAGGACTGCACAAGAGACCTTCAAAACCTTCCTTTTGAGGCTCCTATTCACTGTGTGTTTGCTCATGCCATGTACCTGTGCATAACTCAATCCAAGTCCTGATTTTATAAAGGATTCAGAGATGCGGCACACTGACTAAACAAAACCCAGTGAAAACTTCAAATTGAAAAGCAGTTGAAAGCCAGTTCAAAAGACCCAGGTCCTGCTTCCAATGCCCTCTTCTCTGACTTATCCAGCTTTTCTCTCTGCTTGCTTTCTTCCCCTTCACTTTAAACCTGCATTCTTCACAAACTCATGAACTTAGCTCCAGGCAGTGTCCAATCTTTACTGCCACCAGGGAGGAAGAAACACTCCTTTTTCAAAATAGTTTGAATACTCTTGAGACATATGGGCTCCCAGTCACCACTGGTCTCAAAAATCCCATGGCTAAGGGCAAAATACTTTGTCTGAAGTTTCCTCACTGTCACTGGACCAGGTGTCTGTGAGTGAGAAATCAGAATTACTTAAACACATGACTTAAAATAGCTACATTTCAGGATTTGTGGGGAAGGCTGTAAAAAAAAATCTTAGAGATGTTTATTTTAACTACTTTTTAAAATGGATTTGAAAGGCTGGTGACTACAGGGTGACCCTAGATATATAGACAAGTATATATCTTTAGAGAGTGGTCTTGTCATATTTTCTAGGCACATGAAATTCTACTAGTTCTGAAATACAACACACAGAGAAAATACAGGTACACACACACTCACACATGCTCCGTGTTTGTTCCTGCTGCTCAACCCCAAAAGAACCACACAGAAACTGTATTCATTAAATCACTGCTTGGACCATTTGCTCTAGCTTCTAATTGGCTAACTCTTACATCTTAATTTAACCCATTTCTATTAATCTGTGTATTGCCATGTGGCTGTGGCTTACCGGCAAGGTTCTGGAATGTCTGTTCCTGGTGGCTATATGGCTTCTCCCAACTCTGCCTCCTTTCCCCCAGCATTCAGTTTAGTTTTCCCCACCTACCTCTGTTCTGCCCTGTGCAAGCCTAAGACAATTTCTTTATTAACCAGTGGTATTCACAGCATAGAGGGGAATCCCACATCACATGCTTAGCAGTATACATAATATGCATAACTTTCTTAAAAACTTAGATTCCAACTATTAATATAAGCTTTGCTGTGTTGGGAAATCTGGGCAGCCAATCTTCATTGTTAAACCCAAAACTAAAATAGAAGGAAAATATTTGTTTAAAATTTAAATTACAACTCTCTTTCTCTCTGTGTGTGTGTATGAAGGTATGTTGGGAAGAGGGCATGTTTGAGCCATGATGTAATTGTGAAGGTCAGAGAGGATCTGTAGGAGTTTTTTTTCCTTCTACCATGTGTGTTTAGGAGACTGATACCAGGCATCAAGAGCTTCTACTCACTGAGCCATTATGTAGGGTCCAAGTGAAATATATCAAGGAATTCTACTCATTTACAAAAAAGGAGACAGAAGACAGAAATATTATTTATATACATGAATAATTTAATATATGTCTTCAATCAGACTTTGAATTTAACTATCAGATATTTTGTTCTAGTTACAAAGTGCTAAAATTAATGTTTTTATATATTTCAGATTATATCCATACTTTCAAAGAGCCCTGGTGCCTGTCTAATTAGACTAATTTGCCTTTCAAAACAATTAATATTTCTATGCTTCTGTTGCTATCTATTTTAGATCCATTCTTGTCTGAATACTTCTGAAGTCTTCAATGTCTGTCTTTTTAAAATTTACTTTCTGCTGGAAGTTGCACATTCAGAATGACAATTCATTGGTCTTTGATCATTGAGATCCCCCAATTAAACACAGAACTCTGCTGCAGTCTGAGAACCCTCATACTGGCATTTGGATTTGAGGGGTTCAAGTGTCCCGACTTTCCTAGTTCTATCGAGTAGGTTCTTTCCCTTCTTCTGCTGATGACTTGGGGACACACATGTCTCAGTCTGGAGGCCTGTGAGACTGCCACATTCTCTTCTAGTTTGAGAATCACAGTTACCTAGAGAGGTGAAGCTTTGTCTCCTCCCAGCAGGTAAACAAATCTTGCCCTGGTGGACTGGGGTCAAAGATGCAGTTCTGCAGCCTGATTCACAGCCGTGCAAATTTCCTTTTGATGATTCACCATGTGTATTTTGGGTGAAGCATTTGCTTTTGTAACTTCCCCTCAAAAAGAGATTACTCTGATCTCTGCTTATGGATTGCTTTCTGGGCCCGGCACACCGGGATTTGGATATGGGTGTCCTGGAACTGGATAATATCTGGGTTCTTGTACTGTGGTGTGAACCAACTTCTATAGATTGAGAAGACTGGCTGCACTTTCTCTTCTTTTTTGTAAAAGTAACCGGCATTTTACCATTTCTAGTAGGAAAGGGGACATTTCCAGAGACACAATTCATAGAAAGATCACTTTCTCTGGATTTGCTGTTTATCTGGGTTCTTTCTCTAGACAATCTTTGAAAAGCCTTTGATGAAGGTCCTTCAAGCTTCTTTTTCTTTTTTTCTATTTCTTTTTTCTGATAATGTACCTGTTGGCCAGGACTCAAAACATCTGTTTCCTTTAAATTGTACTTTCTTGGTGGAACTCGATTAGAATCCACTGCTGCTCTCCAGGTGTGGGAAGTGGTTCCACTATTCTGCAGGTCCTCAACATGGTCGGGGAGCAGCTTCGGGCTTTCTGTCTTTTTCTCTTGAACATCTGTGCCTGGGACGCTTTCCTTGAGATTATCCCAGTCCAGTAACAAATTGGTGGTACAAACCACATCCTTGAAATCATCTAATTCCCCTTCGTCTTTGGTCCAAGTATTGACTTTGCTTGCTGTTTTCTGATGGGTCGTTGAGGCTGTAGGACTTTGTACGGAAAAACTGCCGTTAGGGAACTGCTTCAAGTCAGAGAGAGGCCTCTTCCCAGTCTTGTTCCACTGAACCTGGGTGTTCTTTGACTGCTTTGCTCCTTGCTGAGATATCACGAGGGAGAGATCATCAGGCAAAGACAAGACTGGAGCGGAAATAAAGCTCTTGCTTTTCACCCACGTTGAAAGAGGACACTGGTAGACGGCACTCCGGTCATAGGTCTCCACGTCGTAAGACGAATGAACAAAACTGATGAACTCATGCAGAAAGTGGCAGGTATGCTGTAGGAGATAAGGCTCCAGTAGGTGAGCGAAAGATTCACTCTCCAGGTCGAATTTGGTCATGTGATGGAGAATGGCAGCTAGAATATTCTTCACTGTGTAGCCATAGTCTCCATAAACAGCAGTGAGTTCTCGTTTCAGCCAAGGGATCAACCGGTGGAGGCTACTGGGATTTCTTTTGAAATAATTCGCTGAAAAGTGATTTTCCAATTTAGAGCCTTGGACATGTTTTACCCAGATTCCAGAATAGTACAGAGCTCGTCTGAACATCACAATCACGTGGTCTTTAGAGTGTCCCAAGGACCTGGAGTACGACTGAAACTTCCCACGGTCTCCCAACTTCTTCAGTACTTCTAGGATAGTCAGCTCTCTCGATGGTTTGATTTTCCGTTTGGTGTTCTTTGGGGTCTCGCTGAGATTTTGCCTTTGAGAGAAGCCCATAGAACTTTCTTCCTCTGAAGGGAGAAACACAGGGTCTTCCTTGTTATCATTCTTCAGGCCGTTGGAACAAGATTGGGAAAGAAAGCGTTTCATGATGGGAGAGAGTGAGGATTTCTTACTTGGTCTGGAGAGTGACGCAACATCTTCCCTCTTTCCGAGAAGGGAATTCCAGTCAGACTCACTCTGACTACATCCCAAACAGTTCGGACACTCACAGTTCGAGGAGAGCTCTATTGCCATTGGCTGAACAGATTCTATTTCCTGAACTGAATGTTGGGGAAGAAACATTGCTTCAAATTAGTTTCTCATCTGGCAGGAAAAATATCATTAAAAGTACTCCATGCATATTTGTATAAATCCCTCTCTCTCTGTGGAATAAATTCAGGAATACAGTTAGGAGACACACTACTTCTAAGATTATTAATAGCATGCACAGGAAACTCGATGTCTGTAAGGCAGTGAACACATGGGCGTATTGACTTCTTTCTTTTTCAAAGTAGCATTTCAAGCTCTGAAAAGCAAATTCAAATAAAATGAAATAGACATTAGCCCACAGACATATATACACAAGTAACATTATACAGACTGAGAAAGCTGTATCTACTTACTTAAGAATATGTATCAACCGTTAAAGGAAACAAAGTCATGAACTGAGAAGAGAGTATGGGAAAGTAATACATGGGAGGAAAGGATAGTGAAAAAATGATGTAATTACATTATAATCTCAAAAAATTGAAAAACTATTAAAAAATTTAAGTATCATGCTCTTTGACCTGGCAATTCCATATGGTTTTAATCTAGATACATAAGAAATTAACACATATTGACAGCTTTAATGGCAGTGACAAAAGCCGAAAGTTACATAAGTATACATTAGTGAGAGATATGTTGAATGAATGGCGCATTATTATTGTATTTAATATTAGGGATCCATTCAAGTGAAGTGAGGAGACTAACATCTACCAAGACAAGGAGATGGTTGAATATGTTGTTCATCTACCAAGACAAGGAGATGGTTGAATATGTTGTTCATCTACCAAGACAAGGAGATGGTTGAATATGTTGTTCATCTACCAAGACAAAGAGATGGTTGAATATGTTGTCCATCTACCAAGACAAAGAGATGGTTGAATATGTTGTTCATCTACCAAGACAAGGAGATGGTTGAATATGTTGTTCATTTACCAAGACAAAGAGATGGTTGAATATGTTGTTCATCTACCAAGACAAAGAGATGGTTGAATATGTTGTCCATCTACCAAGACAAAGAGATGGTTGAATATGTTGTTAAATTAAATACAGGAATATGAAATACTTTTTAATCCAGGACAGTCAGGCATAGTGGCTCACTCTTACTATACCAAAACTAGGGAGGTTGAGGCAGAAGAATCTTCAGTCCTATGAAACCTAGTTTGCGTTCCTAGAGACTAATTATTTGATTCTAGTGGCATTATTAATGAGATGCAATTAGAATCAAAAAATTGCACCTCTAATATATACATCTGTGTGGATGATATGCAAAAACATTCTTAAGGCACAGACTGCAACTGCACAGAGCAGACCAAGTGGTGAGTGACCAGCCTCCCAGCTGAATAGCCAGTCTCTAGGCTCTAGGCCCCAGGACAATATTCCGGGCACCTCTTTGACCTGCCTAAGCCACACTAGCTGGTTAGTAGGCAAGGCTCCTGCAGGCAAGGTGCCCCAATACCCTCACATCAGACCTTGTCATCTGTAAGTCTCACTCTGTCCCCAAACCTACCCATCCTCGCAAGTCCAGTCTCTAGGCCATAGGCTCTGGGCCAAAACCCCGGGCTCCTCCACCACCCAGGTCAGCCCAAAGGCAAACCTCCTGCAGACAGGCTGCTCCAGTACCCCTCCATTGGAGCCACTCCACCCCCAAACCCACCCATCCCCCCAAACCTCAGTGGTTTCCAGAGACACAGACAGTGACTTCACAGAGAAGAGTAGCTCCCTGAGACACAAACATTGACTGCACGGATAGGTTCAAGAGTGGATCCCTAAGACGCAGACACGGACTGCGACAATCAGGCTAAGAGGCACAGACACTGCACCAATTGGAGGAGAAGATGGGTAGATGGCAATGTAAGATACATTCAACAACCCAAAGAACAATATGGCACCACCAGAACCAGTAGTCCTACAACAGAAAGACCTGAACATCCCAACCCAGAGGAAGCATAAGAAAATGACTTAAAAATAACTTTATTAAGATGATAGAGACCCTTAAAGAGGAAATGAAAAATTCCCTTAAATGGAAGAAAAAAACAAAAAAAAATGGAAGAAATCAATAAATCTCTTAAAGAAAGCTGAGAATGAGCAATTAAACAGGCAAAGGAAACAGTTCAAGACTTGAAAATTGAAATAGAGGCAACAATGAAAACACAAATTGAGAAAATTCTGGAAACAGAAAATGTGGGAAAATGAACAGGAAATAGAGATGCAAGTATAGCCAACAGAATACAAGAGATGGAAGAGAGAATCTGAGGCATTAAAGATATGACATAGGAAATAGATTCATCAGTTAAAGAAAACATTAAAGCAAACAAAGTCATAAGATAAATCATCCAGAAAATCTAGAACACCATCAGAAGGTGAAACCCAAGAATAATGGGGATAGAAGAAGAATACCAATTCAAAGACAGAGAAATATGTTTAATAAAGACATAGAATAAAGCTTTCCCAACCTAAAGAAAGAAATGCTTATGGGGGTGCAAGAAATTTATAGAAGACTAAATAGACTGGACCCCCCACCAAAATAGGGTAAACAAAGAGAACAATACAAAGAATCAATTCCTTTTGAGAAAGTCAACAAGATAGACAAACCTTTATCCAAACTAGCCAAAAGACATACAGAAAATATCTCAATTGAAAAAAATCAGAAATGAAAAGGGGGTCATAACAACAGACACTGAGGAAATCCAGAGAATCATCAGTTCATACTTCGTAAACCTGTACATCCACAAAATTGGAAAATTTAAGAGAAGTGGAAACTATCTGGATAAGTTCAATATACTAAAACTAAAAGACCAGATAAACAATTTACATAGACCCCCTAAGGAAATAGAAGCAGTCATTAAAAGTTTCCCAAACAAAAAAAGCCCAGGACCAGATGGCTTCAGTTCCAAATTTATAAGTGACCCCAAAATTTCTACCCAGCAAATTCTACAGCTGATAAATACCTTCCATAATGTGACTGGATACAAAATTCACTCAAAAAATCAGTTGCCTTCTTACATGCAAATAATAAATGTGCTGAGAAGAAATCAGAGTAATATCACCCGCTACAATAGCCACAAATATAAAATACCTTGGAGTAACTTTAACCAAAAAAGTAAAAGACCTTTATGACAAGAACTTTAAATCTCTAAAAAAAGAAACTGAAGATGTCAGAAAATGGAAAGATCTCCCATGCTCTTGGATAGGTAGAGTCAACATAATAAAAATAGCAATCTTACCAAAAGCCATCTACAGATTTAATGCAATCCCCATCAAAATCCCAATATAATTCTTCATAGACCTTGAATAAATAATACTCATAATCATATGGAAAAACAAAAAACCCAGAATAGCCAAAACACTCTGTACAACAAAGAAACTTTCAGAGGCCTCACTATCCCTGACTTCAATCTCTAGAGCTATAGTAATAAAAACAGTTTGATATTGACATAAAAACAGATGTGTAGACCAATGGAATCAAATTGAAGACCCTGACATTAACCTACATACCTACAGACACCTGATATTTGACAAAGAAGCCAAAATGGTATAATGGAAAAAAGAAAGCATCTTTAATAAATGGTGCTGGCAAAACTGAATGTCAACATGTAGAAAATTGCAAATAGATCCATATCTGTCGCCATGTACAAAACTCAAGTCTAAATTGATCAAGGACCTCAACATAAATCCAGTTACATTGAATCTGATAGAAGAAAAAGTGGGAATTAGCCTTGGACACATTGGCACAGAAGGCTATTTCCTAAATAAAACACCAGTAGCACAAACACTGAGAGCAACAATCAATTAATGGGACTGCTTGAAAGTGAAAGGCTTCTGTAAGGCAAAGGATACAGTAAATAAGACTATATGATAGCCTACAGCATGGGAAAATATCTCCACCAGCCCCACATCTGACACAGGGCTGATCTCCAAAATATATAAAGAACTCAAGAAAATAGATGTCAAAATACAAAATAATCCATTTTTTAAAAATGGGAAAATAAACATCAAAATACAAAATAATCCAATTTTTAAAATCGGATACAGATCTAAAGAGACAATTCTTAGCAGAAGAATCTCAAATGACTGAAAACATTTAAGTAATTGCTCACCATCATCAATCATCAGGGAAATACAAATCAAAATGACTCTGACAGGTAAGATACCATCTTACACCTGTCAGGATAAGATCAGAAATACTTATGTTGTGGGGGGTGTGGAGTCAGGGGAACACTATTTTACTGCTGGCAGAGTGCAAACTTATACAGTCACTTTGGAAAGCAGTATGGCAGTTTCTCAAAAACCTGGGAATCAATCTTCATCAAGACCCAGCGATATCACTCCTGTGCATATACCCAAAGGATGCACAATCATACCTCAAGGACACTTGTTCAACAATGTTCATAGCAGCATTATTCATAGTAGCCAGAATCTGGAAACAACCTAGATGGCCCTCAACTGAATAATGAATAAAGAAATTGTGGTACATTTACACAATGGAGTATTACTCAGCTGTAAATAAAATGAAATTATGAAACTTGCAGGAAAATGGCTGGAACTAGGAAAAAAAAATCTGAGTGAGGTATCCCAGACTCAGGAAGACAAACACGATATGTACTCACTCAGAAGTGGGTATTAGACATAAAGCAAAAAATAACTACACTACAATCCACAGCTCCAGAGAAGCAAGGGACACATGAATCACTCTGGGAAAGGGAATTCGATGAGATCTCCTGGGTAAACTGGGGTGGGTGGGGGGTGGTAAAGGGGAGGAGATGGGAATATGAGGGAATGAGATGGTGGAGGAGGAAGAGGGATGAAGTGGGAGAGAAATGAGAGATATTGATAGAGGGAGCCACTTTGGGGTAAGGGTGAAGACTGGTGTTAGGGATTCTCAAGAATTAACAAGGATGACCCCAGCTAAGACTCCACTCCTAGGTGGAGAGGGTGCCCGAACTGGCCTATCCCTATTGGTGAATACTCCCAACTACCATCATAGAACCTTTA